TAATTTAATATTAAAATTTCAGTTATTTTTAAAAATTGAAATTGATTTACATTTTTCTCATATTTTATTTAGTACAGTCGTAAAAAAAAACAAATATTTTGGGATTTTAACTAATGGTAAAATCTTGAAAATTTGACTTTGAATGAGGGGCAAAGTTGGTAATACGAGATACTAAATTGAAATAATTTTCGAATTGGGGACTTTTGTGGAAATAATTTTCTAATACTCTACCTATTTTGGAATTACCCAATAAATTATTATAAATTATTTTCTGGATAACGATGGCTAACTACCAAACTATGGTTCTCGGATGCTTGGGCCTTTGGATCGGGCGAGAATGGCCTTTGGGAAATATGGTCAGACCCAAGTTTTTTTTGAACTAATGGTCAGCAATCAGCATAGTAGCAGGCCCAAAATTAAAGTAAAAGAAATACAAAAAAAGAAAAAAAAAGTTTAATACTCCTTTTGCAATTACGTTTATCCAAAAAAGAAAAAAGAAAAAAGAGTCAAATTTCATGAAAACACAAATATTATAAGTTTAAATTTTCTATTTACTTTTAGTGAGACTCAATTCACAAACAGGCTTAGAGTAATTATTAAATTTTGTTGAAGGAATTTATGAAATTGCAATAGAGGTAATGTTGAAAAAATATTTAATGCATTGTTCAAAATAACAATTGACAACCATGGTAGATGGAGTAAATGGTTAAACACAAACCATTAGCAGGAGTTAGTTTTCTTAATTCAATTTAATAATTTATATTTTATAATTCAATATGAAAAAAAGAAAAATCAAAATATCTTAACATTAAAATTAGAATCAAGTTATCTAATAATAATCATATAATAAATTTAATAAAGTTATGACTCACGCTATACTTCACATGTTTAATGATTGTGAGTAAACATTTTAATATTTTCAGTAGACGTCTAATATTTTTAATATCAAAATATAATATAAACAGTAAAAACTATATATATACTATTTTGTCACCAGCAAAGCTGTGTCATACGGAATGGAATAACGGATACATGCGCCCAATCCTAATCGTAGTTGAAGTTGTACGAGTGCCTTCGACTCAGGGAAGAATTTGTAATCTAAAACGCTATAAATATTTAACAGATGTCCTATTCCTTCGATTCAATTCAGTTATTCACATTCTCTACTTCTTGAATTTCTTGGTTTTTCTTGTGTTCCTCTGTTTCCTCCTCTGTGGTGTTGTAGTTTCCATCCATGGAGAAACCATCTGCCAATGATCCCACAGGCCCTAAATCAAGGGCCTGTATTCCTGATACCCTTTTGCATTCTTTTGAGAACCTTCATCTGAACAATGGAATCGGCAGCGGATATGCAGCTTTCCCATACAATGCCTCCTTAACAACATCTGGTTCAAGAAACGGAGGGATGTTTCTTGGAGCCCCCAATTTGCAGTATCCAACAGAAGGATTCCATCTTTCAATCAACCGAGTCGGTGGCTATGGCGCTAATTGTCATCAAAACCTGACCTCCTCGGATGCCATAAATCTGGCTCCGGTGCCGAGACAAAACATAATCTTTCTTGCGGCTTTGACTCCGGAAGGGTCTGAAACACTCAACCAGTACTTGTCTTCCAAGAACTCTCCAGCTACAGACGTCATCTTTGAAGCGGTAATTGACTCAATTTTCGAGCTTATGACGGATCAAGCTGGACATTGTGTATTTGGAAATTTGATTCATCTATGCAATAAGGGTCAGCTGCACATGATTGTAAAGAAACTCGAGATGCATCCGGAAGCAATGGCGGCTGTATGCATTAACAGATACGGTTCTCCTTCAGTCAAAAAGCTCATCAAACTCATTGCCAAATCAGACTCAGACTCGTTAGCTACTTCGATGGTGGTGGGGCTGCACAAGGTGTTCAGTCAATTAATGGTACATAAAACAGGATGTCATGTTATAGTGCAGTGCCTGGAGACCCTCAGTATCAACCACAATGAGTTGCTGCACATAGCAGCTATAGAGAATGCTCTTTATCTGGCAACCCATGTTAACGGGTGCTTGGCATTGAATAGTGTAATTGATGTGATTAAAGGTCCAAGAAGAAATGAGCTCCTCGAATCGATTGCTGATTTAGCTGTGTGCCTCTCCCAAGATCCTTATGGAAACTTTGTGGTGCAGAACCTGTTGGGACTCCAGTACCCGAACATCACTAAGAAAATATGCTCTTTGTTGAAGGATCACTACATAAGGATCTCAATGCTGAAAGGCGGCAGCCATGTAGTAGAAAAATGCCTCAAGTCTACGGAAAGGGGTTACGCAGTTGAAGCTTTTATGGAATGTCAAGGGCAAGCACTGTTGAATGTTGCCAGGGATCAGTTCGGGAATTATGTCATACAAACAGCTCTCAAGGAAACAAAGCATGCGGACTGTGCACTCCATGACAGACTTGTAATGAAACTCAGATCACATCTGGTGCACCTGGAGCGCAGATATGGAAGGAACGTCCTCAATTTGATCGTTAACCAAGATTCCTACTAATTGGGTGTTTCCATGAGTCAGAAAATCACATGTTTTTTATGCAATACTTTTGTTCAGCTGTCACAACATGAGTAGAATAATGTTCTTTTATTTGTTTTCTTTTCTATTTGTAAGAGATTGGAGTTTTTTTTAAGTAAAAATTAATGTCCTTATTTTAAAATTATGGCCTTCCTGAATTTCCTTTTCTTAGATTAATAATGGTAAGCAGTACCAAAGGATTGGTGTTTTGTTTTTTTACATTGGGAAAGTAATTTTTTTAAAATTTTTTTAATTTTAGCATAAATGAATTACTTTAATTAAACTAAAGAGGTAAACTTAATATGGTGTGTAAAAATTAATTTAAAATATCATCTAATTTGTATATATATATATAAAAAAAAAAACCAAACAGATTGAGAATAGGAAAATCAAAGAGGTGAACTAGTTAATCGTTATATCACCCAAAAAAGAAAAAAAAAAAAGAAAAAAAAAGGACATCATGTTTGCCCAAATTCTAGTTGGATTAAACATGTGCAAGGGAGGCCCCCTAAAAGGGCTTATTTGAAAAACCTAAAAAGTTCATAGGTTTATTTGGCGGTTTTTTTTCCTCAGTCTTCACCTTTACTTTTTGAATTCTCCCTTGGATGAGATTCGGCGGTGATAGCAGAGAAGTTCAGTGAAGGGAAAATGGCAGAGCCAATGGAAACCACTCCATCTTCAGAACCTCTCGACCTGGATTCCATTCGCAGGTTCTTCTCTATGAATCCGTAATCAATATTGCTCTTTCTTGTTTAAAAACCTAACCTGTTTTTCATGTTCGCAATACTTCTTCCCTTCCAGCCGAATAAAGGAGCTCTCGGAACTCCATACCAGTGCCAATGAGGATTTGCCGGAAACTGTCTTGCCTGATTCGGACAATTTACTAAAAGATTGCGTTCTTCATCTCGAGGTGACTCTCAAGATTTTTCCCTCTAAAACTTTCATTTTGGTTTATCTTTGTCATTGGAAATTATGGGTGGAATTGTGCAGAGCAAAGTGCAGCAAATTATAGACGAGTGCTCCGATGTTGGTTTCCTTGGCATTGAAGATTTGGGTAAGTCCCTTTTATTTAATTTTGATGGGTACTCTGATATGTTGGGTAAGTCCCTTTCATTCCTGCAAGCCCTTTGGAAATTGAAGTAAGAGGCACTACCAACAGCAACAATACGGAAGCAGGAAATGTTGGGAAGTGGTGTTTCCTTGATTCTGATTGCGTTCGTTCTGTCTGAATACAGATGCATATGTAGAACAGTTGAAGGAGGAACTTAAGGAGGTAGAGGCTGACAGTGCCAAGATTTCTGATGCAATAGAGGTTCTTTCAAGAAAAAATGTTGAAGGTTAGATCTAACAATCTCAGATTAATTTTTGAATAAAAGGATGCCAACCTGTTTGTTGTTTTTACTCAGACCCTTGTATTTCCACAGAATCAAATAGACTGGACAGCAATCTTGAAGCTTTGAACTTTTCACTGGATTTAGTTGCATCTCAGGTTAGTCCTTCTATCTCAATTCATGAAAGATTTCTTTTGAGTTATAAAATTAGCTTCGATGATAATTTTGTGACTTTAGGGAAGTAGCATTTTGGAAAAATGGTTACTATAGCTGACCCATTCTTGTTCACATTTTATTGGTTTGGATAAACTTCAATAATAAAATGTATTGCCACTTGCAAAGTGGTCTGTCTGGTTGTTCTTCCTTGCATTCAGTTCTCCATGTTTCATACCTATGGATCATTGGATCTACATGAAATTTATCTGAATTATTTTTAACCTTTATCATCTAGAAGGATCTGGAGAAAGGAGGGGGGGACATGGACCTGGATTCTTCTACAATTCAAGAAGATCAACCAGAATCAGAAGATGCATATCAAAGGCAAAAGTTTGAGGTTTTTCTCACTTGGTCTCTTTTGTTTCTGATATGATGTCTATCTTTCTTTGCAAATAATTATCTTACAACATAGATAGTTGTGATTTATTCAGTTCAGACATTGCCAAATTTTACTGTATTAAATTGTGGATTTGTCCTACATATTTTTCTATGTTAACCATATGATAATCTTCTTTTTGTGCCTCAGATTTTGGAACTTGATAGTCAGATTGAGAAGAACAAAGTCATATTGGAGTCTTTGCAGGATCTTGATGTTATATTCAAAAGGTAATGTGGCCATTATCTGTGTTTTAAATATATATATGCAACTGATGTCTTTAACCTTTGCCTATTACATGCCTTTTTTCTTTTTTATTCTTCTTTCCTTCAGGTTTGATGCCATAGAGCAGATTGAAGATGCATTCACAGGTCTAAAAGTCGTTGAGTTTGATGGAAACTGCATCAGGCTGTCATTGAAGACATATATTCCAAAACCTGAACATTCATTTTGCCAGCAGCACTTTGAAAATATTGTTGAGCCATCTGAAATGGATCATGAATTGCTAATAGAAATCATGGATGGGACTATGGAGCTAAAGAAAGTTGAGGTATGGCTTTAGTTGTTCTCCTCAAACGTGAAATTATCCTGTGATTTGCTTTGTATTCATATTTAAATATGGGAAGAATGGATCATATTTTTTTCTCCAACTGTAAAGACTTCCTTGTCTTTTTAGAGTAGACCATATGAGATGAATCAGTAATTTCATTGGATTAGAGGGATCAGAGAAGTCTCTAAGGCATTTTTGCTTTAACCATTTTGTTCTGCATGCTCCTTTGACTGTGCCGTTTTGATGTTACCTTTATTTTCTGGCTTTTTTATTTCTTGCTTTTGCCCTCATTGGCACAAAGCTCGGCAGTAGTTACTTTGGTATTTTACTCTTTTAAGGATTTGATTTGAAATATTCATTTTGTCCAGATGTTTCCAAATGATGTATACATAGGTGATATCGTAGATGCAGCAAAGTCCCACAGGTTTGTGTTTTGGTAATTTTGCCTTCTATCACAATTTAGCAAATGTTTATAAATCTGCATGTATAGGAAATTTACAAGTTGTATCCCTATTTAACCAAAGGACTGAAAATCAAGGATATAAATTAATAATTGCAGAATTTTCTGTGATGAAATGCAAATGAAAGATTACATAGTTAATTAAGGAGAACAAAATTAGAAAGAACCAAAAAAGATGATGGGTAGTGACTGCATGATAATTGAGATACTTTATGTAACTGCTATGCCATAATTTGAATTGCCTTGCTTAAAGTGACAAGATAGTTGTCCTACTGTTGCAGGCATCTATTCTCAAAGTTAGCAGTGATGGAGACAAGATCTTCGTTGCAGTGGTTTGTAGGAAAAGTGCAAGACAGAATTATTTTAAGCACCCTGAGACGAACTATAGTGAAGAGTGCCAGTAAATTAAGGTAAGATTTCCTATAGGGTAAAGTCTACAGATTTCTGGTTCTCGTATATTTCCAATAAATTTTGTATGATACATGAAATGAGAGTTTTTACACGGCTCCTGGTACAGACACTCTTTTGAGTACATAGACAGAGAGGAAACAATTGTAGCTCATCTGGCCGGGGGAGTTAATGCGTTCATAAGAGCGTCTCAAGGTTGGCCACTTGCAGATTCACCTTTGAAGTTGATAGCTGTCCAGAGCTCAGAGCATCATTCAATGGGGATTTCCTTGAGCTTACTTTGCAAGGTCGAGGTGAGTGGATATTATTTGTTATTTCTCTTGCCTGGGTAGATAATTTCAGAATATTTCCTGCATTTTCTGCAAGTTCATCAGAAAGGCTTCAACGTCAATTCGTTGGTCTGTAAATTCTCTGTTATCAATATCTTATATTGATTTTTCTACTTTTGAATAACTTCAACACATTAGGAACTGGCAAATTCCTTGGATACTTGCACGCGGCAAAATTTGTCAGGCTTTGTGGATGCTGTCGAAAAGCTGCTTGTAGAACAGATGCGCCTGGAACTTCAATCAGGAGGTGACATCCCTTAAAAGTGAGACCACAGCACACCTCTTTGCACCATTATGCATAGTTTTTCTAAATGTGCAATCTGCCCCCAACTATCAGGAAAGTAATGGTTGAGATACATTTTAGCAATATTTTCTTTGTAAAGATGGTATTCCTGTTTCAGGTTGGTGAAAATCTATAACAATCTCAGCAATGTAATTTCAAAAGTTTTGGTTTTGAAAAAAGTGTTTTGCAGTCCATACTACAAAACACCATGGATTGAAAAGAAATAAGGTAGAGTCCATCGGATTGCAAACAGGGATGGTTGGATGGGGAAGGTCTTCATCTTTCATCTAAAGGTCTCTTGTCATACAGTAGGAATTACGGAACAATTTTTCAAAAATATTAGAGCAGAAACACAGACAATCAGAGTCATAAACTACTTCAAACTAATATTATCATTGAAAAAAGAAGAAAAAAGTTTCACAAACTATGGCATTGGACATCAATATGAAAAATTTCAATTGAAACCCGAAGCAGAATCATGAAACGAGGTAAATTTGTTTGACGTACACTGGCGCAATGGCGGTTAGAGGCCTCATTTACAGTAACGATCAGCATTTTTCTTGACGCGATCATCGAGGGCATCCTTGACGGACTTGGCGTTGGCATTCTTGGAGTCGTAACCGAACTTCTTGGACTCGACGGGGAAGAGATCCTCGTACTTCATGCGCTTGGCGGCGTCGATGGTATAGGTTTGTTCTCCAGCACCAGATTCAGCGGCATCTGCATCGACGGACTGGTGACATTCGTCGTCGTTCTTGTTCTTGTGCTTCCTCTTCTTCTGCTTCTTCTTGTCGATGGTTTTGCGAGTAGCCAGACTGTCTCCTTTGAAGGTGAGTCTGCCCTCATTCACATTCTCGTACTGGTCCGACATCTCTTACGATGGCCTTACAATTCTTCTCCTCCTCCTCGATTGACTTCGAGCAATCGGCCCTTCACCGGCTCTGGTGATAGAAAAAAGAAACAATTCCGTCGCCTTTCAGTGCTTTCGCTAATTGCAGTCTTTGCAATGTTTACGGGGACGTGGTGTTCTTCCAAAACGCAAGTTCTACATGTCGCACTAACATTACTAAAAAATGCTGAATTTATTATAATAAAAATACATTTAATTAATTAATTAATTAATTTTTGTTTATGTTGATTACATAATGAGAAATGACTTTTTTTTATCATTTATTTTATTTTATTCACATGTCATGTGAACTCGAATACAATTATTACTGAGTTATTTAAATCGACTATAATACATTTAATTTTATTAAAAATATTTCAATAAAATTATAATTTAAACGGCATTATTAATATTTATCTTGAATGGTTAAATATAAGTTTTTCTTAAAAAAATTTGTATCGAACCGGTTACTTCAACTTTTTAAGTAATGTTAAAAAAAACAAACCGGTAACTTTAACTGATTCAAACCATTAACTCTCCGGTCAAACCGAGTAAAAACAGTTCATTTCTGATTGGCCGGTGGCAAGATGACCTTATTGAAGGATAATCCAATATTTTAATGGTAAAGCATGGCATAAGAACCTAAATTTGCACAAATTTTAAAATTTTAGACCTAAATTTTAATTGTACTACATGAAATTTTTAAGTAAAATCTCAATTAGATGAAAAATTAACTTACTATAAAAAATGTGTTACAATTCCATTAATATCCATTACTCTCTCAATAAGTTAATATTTGATAGCAAGTTAATTTTCTATCCAATTGAAACCTTATTTAAGAATTTTATATTGTCTAAGATCCAATTAAAGTTTGAGTTTAAAATTAAAAATTTTGTGAAAGTTCAAGTCCTTGTATCATATTTTTGCCTATTTTAACTTTCATCAGTATTTTTTAATTAATTAAGTAATATTTAAAACTTAGAATTACAAAAAATAAAAACTTCATAATAATAAAAAAGTTAGAAATGATAATAAAATTTTTTTAAAATCATTAATAAATCAACATGAAAGATTTATTAAAACCATCAAAAGAAGGTTGCAAGTAGTCGAACGTCCTAACTTTTATTTTCTAACTTAAAAATTAGTAAAAATTAACTAAAAAAACTTGAACATCGTGGTCCTATGATCCCTGCAGGAACCCAACACTAAATGGCACAAGAATAAGAACTTCGGATATATTTGAGTGCACCTAAAAGATTAAAGAATTGCAAGGGATTGGCAGAGAAAATATATTAGAAGAAGGATCCAAAATGAATCAAGTTGAGAGAACACATTACAGAGAATACAAAACAGGATCCATTGTGAGATCCTACTAATATTACTCGCAACAATAACTTGCTTACATTACATAATGAAGGATAAGTGTCAGTATCAAAATTCTAAAAAGATGCCCCAAAAATTACTATGCTTCCCAGACGGTTTCATTTTGTCTCAAGCGTACACATTGCACAATGATCAATCTGAAAACAGATGTTCGGTTGGAAGGGTAAGCAGAGAAAAGACCTATATAGGAATCCGGTGTAGATACATTCAAATTTCTGTGCTGCCATGTTGCCAATCTCCAATCAACCAAACTTTGATGCAATAACGGCTTCACTGACTTGAGTAAATATCAGCTGTGAAGCTGTTTCAGGTGTCTCACTTCAAACATTGGATCTTCTTTGCTGCATCTCGGATGCTTTGGCGGATCTCAGGATGTTTGAACTTTAACAACTTATCCAGTTGCAGGACACCTCGAGGGATGCTATCATCCTTGATAAAAGACCCCGAACAAAGACCAAACAGTACCAGGTTTACATCTTCCTCTAGTTGAAGGCAAAAAAGGTGGTTGAAAACCTACAGTTCAACAGTATTACAAACTCCCAGTTATAAATTTCAGCACTGTCTAAAAATTTTAGAACATTGAAAAGTAGAAATCACTTATTCTATGAATTGCTAATTTATCAGGCTTCTTAACATAATCATCTAATAAGAATATTATAAGAGAAATCAACCAAAGACGGGTTCATTTGATTCAAGTTAAAAAAAAGGACATTAGCCACTTTAGACATCAGAATATGGTTCTTGATTGGATGTACTGGAAGGGATTCATCTATCCAACCTGAACTAGTTTATGGCCAAGAAAAAAAAAAGGAAAAGAAAAGAAAAGAAAAAAGAAAAACAAAGAGACCGAGGTTGGGGCAAAGGCTTACCTTAGTTGAGCAAACACAGTGAACTATATGGAACAATCTAATTAATAAAAAGGATGTCTCGTCTGACAGAGACTAGAAACCAAAGGATTTAAGCTCACTTTGCAGCAATTTTTGGCACTCATTTATTTATGTTTACAGTTATACAAAATTAACTTGCTTTTACCATTTCCAGACTAGGGACAGTGAAAGATTGACCTTTTAATAGCCAGAATACAACAACTGAAAAAGAAATATCTTAAATGAGAAAAATCACCCACAAAGTTTGATTAATGATAATATTTTACTTACCATTTTCATCCTTGAAATGACCATCTCTTTAACAGCTGATGACCTCGTTACCAAATTAACAACAAAAAGACCTTTCTCAGAAAGTGTGTCTTTTACAATTAGAAGGAAAGACTCTTCCACAAAATCTGCAGCTGGGCAGGTCATTCCAGAGCTATACCAGAAAATAAATAAATTAATAAATAAAAATAAAGGAATAAACCGGAGAAAACTCCTCAAATTATAAACCTGTTAGTTCATAGAATTGGTGTTTAGTTGTGACATTTTCAGATTTCTACTTTACCTTGAATCTGAGGAATCCACATCAACAATGAGAATGTCAATCATGGTACTTTCTCTGCTATCTGCATGAGACAAAATGCAACTTCCATCTGAAGAAGGAGGCACTCCATCCTCATTTCTGTGACCTGACATGCTAGCTGCAGGAAATGAGTTTTTATACTCTTTGACAAACTGGATCCCATCAGCAATATGTACCTGAAAATCAAAGGCAGATCATAACTGCTACAAGTTTAGAAGACCAGGAATAAACTTCAACATAAAAGTTCTTTCCACATACAATCTTGAAAAAGGTAAAGATTTTTATTTTTTGCATACTTTCCTATTAAAATATGCCAAAAGCCAACTAGCTTCACAATAAATTACCTTCAAACGTTTATCTTGTGTAAAACCAAAGTAGTCTCTAGCTATATTAAGCATCATAGGATCTAGCTCCACAACCTGAGGATACAACCAACCAAATAATTTCACTCAAGTGAAATAATCCTTGAAGAATGATGTGAGGTCCACATTAACAGTTACTCATTGATTTTTTTGAACACTTTGAGAAATCTACCTCAGTTTGCAGAAATGGTATACTTCCATGAAGAAACATAGGTAGTAAGCCAGCACCAAGACCTATTACAACTGCTTTTACCTGAAAAACATGATTTTTTAAACATAAGCAGTGTCTCATTAATAAAAGCATCAATGATGTTAAAAGTCAATCATGTTGAATTATTGCAAGCAAAAAATATATTCAGTTAATTTTAAGTTAAAGTTCTAACTTGCCAAGCAGAAATAAGAAGAAGATGTCTGTCACTCCATGCATGAATATGAATAACTCTCCACCAAATACAATTTAGTCATACAACTATAAAATTTTCCACTATATATAAAAGATCTGACCAGGCATAGCGAAGATGTATCAACAGTTAGAGGCTAGGAATATAAGTGTGTTTAGACATTTCTGCTTTGAAACAGTCCTTACTTCATTTCCGCTTGATGATACACTTTCCAGATGGGATGAAATCAGTGTAAATCCAGAAATTATCCCAGTGTGATAAGAACTAGCCAAGTAACCATGATAAACCGTCATCGGACTGCCTGAATCTATAACAGAAATAAAGGGATTATAGCAGTAAAAACAAACTAAATTATAGAGCAAAAAGTTGGCTATATGGAAATCATTATGGAAATATAACAGCAGCAAAGATGGAACACCATAGTCTGGGGGACAGAATTTGGCTTAGAGATATTTACTTTGTATTATTTTTTTTTTCAAGAATTTATTCCATAAATCAAGCAAAACCAAGTGGCACAAGAGTTAATCTGTTTGCGACAAAGTCAAAGCACGAAAATTACCATTGTTTCTCCTTTGTGTTCCCTTTCTTCTGGATTTGGAAGATAAACCAGCCCTCTTCTCTACTCCACCAACAATTTTGTTAGGAGATTCATCCCTAGTTAAAAGAGCTTCAGATTGTACCAGGCCCTCAGTTCTTTGAAAAATAAGGCGACGAAATGTCAAATCTCTAGATGAAAAAATGCGATTTATATCATCATCAATATTTTCATAAATGACATCTTCAACTACAATTGGCCCTGTAAAGGAAGATGTAACCTACAAAATTGAGGACAAGTGATTATTCAATTTCTACTTAGGATTCAAACAAAAGTATCAATGCAGGTTTGGATCCTAATAACATCTATGCAGATTTCAATCTAGGACTCATACAAAATTACAATTTTCAATATTATATCGAACAGCCAAATCCATTTAGATGCTAATTTGCTTTGAAGACTAGAAAACATGCCAAAAAAAGATGATTAATCTAGACACCCAAAGACACGGGGTACAGAAGAAAAAGCTCAATACTTCCTTTTCAAAGGGGAAAAGGGCAGCCTATCAATCTATCCACTTCAGTAAGAAAAGAAGAAACTCTCAACAAGTTTTTTTCTTTTAAATTTTTTTGTTTTTCTCATCTTCTGTTATTATAATGCAGAAAACATGAGTGGGAATTGAGAAATTCCATAGATAGTACAAATAATATCAAGAACAATGTAAAACTAGACAGCTTTGGAATAGAGATCTGAACCTCATAAACAATATTCCGCTGCTTGATCCCATCACTGGCCATCATAAACCTGTGATTATCAAAACAATCAAGGATGCATCATAAAGAATGAACCAATGTTGGCAGTTAGCTTAAAAGTTAAAATTGTCAACCAAGAAATAGAGCCAAAAATAACAGTGCATTGAAGCAGAAAGATGGCATAAATTAAATACACTGGAAGGGAGTCATTCAGCAGTAGATAAAGCCATACTATTGATACCATAAAGATACTGCTGTGTTCAGATGGGGCTAAGATTAGAACTTGTTTTTTAGTCCATAACAAACAGATTTGCTACATCTCGTGCATGCTTCAATGAGTGAAGCCCAAGATGCAAGTATTCCAGTGGTTTGCATACATTGCAGTCCAGTATTTCATTTTGCCACTAATACTTGTATTGCAATGAGCATTTGCATGAAAAATCATAATTGACCAAGCACCAAAACAACACCCTTTGTGACTCTCATTAGACAAGTTGTCAAGTTATCCATAAGCTACAAAACTCAAACATAACATAATAGCATACCAACTCCAATTAATAAAAGTTGACGGCTGCACTATTACAAGGAAAAAATCTATGAAAGAAGTGAACATACGGAATTTGGGCTCCATTATCATTGCCTGCAGGTGCCAATTGTTTGACCAGAGGAGACAAATCCTTCTGAACAAGACAATATCATACACCAATATAAGAAATAATAGTTTGGAAAGTGAATACAGTAACATTCAAAATGAAGGAAAAATATATTACCTGAATATCTTCCATGGCAGCTTTAGTGTGGATCATGTCCAATAAAACCTTCAAATAAAAATTTTTCAAGAACTTAAAATATATATATATATATATAACCTAAAAACAGAAGAGAGAAGCTCAAGAAAAAAATAATCAGAGTAAACATTTGATTGATTTACAGAAAATCTACCATCATTAGACGAGCAGCCTTTGATCTTTCAACCACTTGCCATTGTCCTTCCTCTGAAGAGAAGAGCCATTCATGAGTCCGAGTCTGAAATCTAGTATTCAGTCATATACTCAAGACGGAAGAATATCAATTACCAAAAGTAGGTGCAAAGAGAGTCAATGGATGTGTTTCTATCCATACGTGGTTGTACATGCACTTCCACATAAGTTTAAAGGGGCTTACATGTTTCATCACAAAGGAGAGGGGAGGGGACGGGTTACATGACGTGAAGAAAGATTATAAAAACTTTTCATAACTAAGTCTTTTTAATTGCATTAGAAAATTTCACATGCCACTTTATCAAATTTGTACCTTAGGCACAATAAAGACCCCATAGTGATATGAGAATGGACCACAGTGTTCTTTGGCATCAAACAATAAGGCTCTGTAAGTATACTGAGAGGCCCCCTGTCCACCCAATGTAAGCTGAACTTGACGACCTGGGGTCAGTTTTGTCAGGTCCCCTTTGGCTCCTAATTGCAGATCTTCAAGAGAGTACGGTATATCAGAGCCATCCAGGTACTCTTTACGAATTTGATTCTCATTATTAAGTGCTTCTTGAAGACCAAAAGCCTAAAAACATGTCCAAGTGTTTATATCAAAACTGTAAAGGATTCATTATCCAGAATTTCAATAGCAGATGTCACATTTAAATTAATGACAAATGATTATTAGAAACAGCTATTTGTTAGCACCATCGGAGATTCAGAAGGCTCAGGAAAACACCATATGCACTTAAGAGACTGAATACAAGCAACATTGAATGTTAGGTTTAAAATTAAGATTAAAGTTCAAAGTTAAGCCAATAATAATAATAATAATAATAACAATAACCTCCAGATCTGGAGCTGCTAATTATACCTGATCTTGACTGCAATCAAGGGAAGAATAATTGAAATATGATGTTATCTGGTGCAAAACAGAGGAACTCTCTTTCTCAGCAACAACCATAAAGGTTTTGAGGTTTGGCTTGCTGGACAATTTCACAGGTATAGCATGAACACTCACATTCCACCCAAACCGAAACTTCGGGAATAGCAAACCTGAATGAAAAAACAAAACCAACTTGTATCTCAGCAGAGGAAGCAATCAATCAAAGAATAAAGAAGAAGATGCCTATGAAAAAACTATTAAGCAAGTAATTGACTAATCCTCAAAATCAAGTGTGTGCATTAATTAGATAACCTCAAATACGACACAAGTAAAGAGAAGTAAAGAAACTTTGACAGAAGTTAATATAGTGCCATAATGCAAAATATTTTCTTTAATTCCATTCTCCGAATGTTGTTAACATAAAGAGTACCTAGAACATGAGATTCTGCCAAGGTTAGACAAATGAATTTCCCTCCAGATCTCAAAACTCTTTTCACCTGAAGAAACAATCCAAGTTACGCGAATCTAACAAAGAATCGAAACTTGTCCAGGAAAATAAGTAAATTATTCAGATCAAATAAGCACACAGTTGATAAATAAGCTCAAATCGAATACAACATACCTCAGATAAGTATTGATTTCCAAGCTTAGGTCCTAGCTTTGGCTCCATCAATGCATCCAATCCTCCTTTGTCAAGAACAGCATCAAATGTCTCATCGGTGAACTGGTAAAGTAGTTAAAGAAAGAAAAAAAAAATCGCTCAGAAAATGTATTAATCAATTGCTAATCACAAAGCTAAGAATTCAAATGGCCAATACATATAACTGAAAAAAGAAGAAGAAGAAAGAAATGAACCTGCAGTTGTGTCATGTCCATAACGCGCCAGCGCATGTGGGGACGGTCCCTGACATTGCGGCGAAGCATGTCGGAGATGACGACCTTAGAGAAGTCGACGTTGGTGATGGAGTGAAAGCCGGCATCGTAGAGGTGCTCGGAGAGGCGGGAGTTCCCGCAACCAGGAACCAAGATTTGGCAAGAAGAAGGTTGCTGAAGAAGGGGGAGCAGCAAGTCGCGGAGCTGATCCCACTCGGCGTACCACTCGAAAGAGTCATCGTTGCCTTGGATGGTGAAGAAGCTATCCCAGTTTTCTTTGCTGGTGAAGTCTCCTAAGGTCGCGAGGAGATTGTCGGAAGATGGTGATGGTTGCTGGGTTTTCTGCTTTCCCATTTCCGAGAATGGCTGTCGATTTCTAGAGGTTTTGGGTTTTTCCGTCCTCCTTTCTCACGTAGTCAGAGGCAGGTGAAGGTTACTTTGGATATTTTATTTTCTTCAGTTTTTTTTTTTTTCTTTCTTTCTTTCTTTCCAAGCCTACGCCCAAATCCAGCGGTGATTGAGCCCAAGACCTTTTTTGTAATTTACAATTAAGGTGTCCAAACTAACTTTTATCCAACCCAAGATTATTTAATTTTTTTTGCTGATTTTAAAAACACATTTCCACGTCAGTTTAATATATTTAAAAAAAATTAATTTATTTACGTATTAACCTCATGCAAAACTTAAACATTAATCTTGACTTATAAAATAGGATTTATCTATAAATAGATCTAACCTTATAATTTTAAGCCCATGATTTTAACAATTCTGTGAGCTGTGTCATTTTCCCTTTTTGAAAAGGGGGAAAGTGAGGAGAGGGGGGAGGGCGCCGAGGAGAAAAGGACTGCACACTGCAGCTTTAAACTCTGGCTAAACTCATGAGTTTAAGTGCACCCGACCAAAGCAGCCAAAGCTGCGGGTGCGTAAGCTGTGTCATTTTCGGAAGCAAAAATCAAATAAACTACATTCTATCACTTAGAGAATTACTTCCATGACAAAACAGTTTTGGTAGGTCAAGGGAACCGCATTCACAGCTGGAAAAGCTATCTTTACAATGTGAGTTTCGGTCAGCTTATCAATATCCGTAACAATACCTAAACAAATTACAATAGGAAGCCAATGGCTCTTGGTTTCTGTATTCTAACCCATATCCTAGTAGTAACTTATTATACAAATACACGAAAAGTTGTTACAATTATTACCTAAACCATAATAGTTTTGTTAGCATCAGCCCTGTTCTTTGTAAGGAGTCCAAATCAATTTGCTAACATCAACCTCAAGACCCCCACGTCCAGCAGCTTTTAGATGCCGATCCAAGACCTTAGGATCTGCACAGATGACGTGTTGCCCTTTTCTGTATTGAATCAATTCTAAGCTCTGCAAAGTAGTTAGAATATCGTCTGCTTTAATGGCTGTCATGTCACTGAGCTCCTGGAGACAGTAAATTAATTATGAAAATGAGTTCTAATCAATCAGAGCAGCATTACACCAAATCCAGAAGAAACTTTGAAAATGGGATCGAACAATCTTTATAAGTTTCAAATTTTAAACCAGTTTAAAAGACAATTTTTTATTAGAAAAAAAAAGGGGGCATTTTCTTACTATTGCTGAAGCTAGTAGAATTTGAGTAAAGCTTTAAAGCCAGCATTACAGCGTGCATACCTTAATAGAGATATTTCCCTTGTGCTTTTTCAAGATGTCTAGAAGAACCCTGGTCCAATATCCTCTGTAGCTCAATAGCCCTAGGTCAGAAAGGGGTCTTTCAGGTGTTCCAACTTTACCTTCTTTCTTGGAAAGTTCATATGCTGCTCCATAACAAAAGATTATCAGCAATAAAATCCCACCAGATAAAAATCACAAGGTTAGTACTTTGTTAGTGGAATTAAGAGAGAATCTTTTGTCTTGAGATGGTTGTGGCTATTTACGAGGTTACCAAATGAAATAACATCATAGAAGGGTCAAGATTGTTATGCTAAGATGCCTGTAATATATTCTGTTTGTCATAAATATTTCATATTTTCACGCACAAACATGCCTGACAAGATCTAGTTTAACATGAAAAGGAATCAGAACCAAAGTGGTGCTTGTATTGTGAGGCTGATATAATAAGAAAACGTTTGCATTCTTATTTACTGCCCAAAGCCAAGGACGATAGAGTTAAAACCAATGCCTATGAATACATACTCATCAAAACAAACATAGAGATATATAGTATTAACCAGATCACTATCTCCATCCATCGATAATCAGAACAAGGCAAAACAAAGTACAAATAACAAAGAATAATAGAGAGCTTACAGAAGGCGATTAAAAATTTTCCATAGCCTTTCCTTTGATAAGGAGGAAGAGTGAGGATGCATGCCAAATTGTAGGATTCCTCGGATTGTTTTTCCTGCATCAACAGAGAGTATTAAATACCAGCCAAGATCATGTTCTTCCACAGAAAAATGGTCAATAAAGCTGACACAATAAGGATTAGGCTTCAACAATTGATGAAATTCAATTACAAATCTAACAGCCTAGTTAATATTACCATACTGCATTAATATGCCACACGCATCTCTCCTGACACCGTTTTAGGCAAATCTTTCCCTTTAACCACAATACTTCATACTAGATGTTGTACAAAGAAACAGTTATTTTGTCCTATCCTATCAAATCAAAGTCTGAAAAAAGCATTGCAATGGAAATTACCTTGGAAAAATATCCAACCATGTGGCATCCACGATCATCACATTCACATAAAACATAAAATAGAAACAGGTCAACATCATAATACAGGGTCTTGTGGTCAAGGAACAACTTCGCCAAATAGCAAAGGTTCTGCCCATAAACCCTGTTCTTTTTGCCATCAACCTGTTGCAAACGTTTAATCCAAGAGAACATGGTGAATATCAAGCAAAGTATAGAGGCAAGCCAAATTCTGCCATGTGACGGCATGTGATGTCACAATAATGAATGAGGGCAGGAACAAAGGGAAGCAACAAGAATGAAAACAAAATAATTCAAATATTAAATCCATAAAATGAAGCCAACAATGAAATTTTGGGAAGTAAAACCCTCTCCTTAATGCTTTCAGAGTATATTTACAGAGATTAAGTGGGCAATTCCCTAATATAAGATGGGTGAAAATTTTAATGAAGATTGAATAGTACACACAATGCAAACCTTGAAATGAAACATGCTAACAGAAAAAAAAGATAACCAATATAAACGAGAAAGAGAACTCTTAACAAATTTAGATACCATCACCTAAGAATAACATATTTCAATTTCTGACAGAGAATAACAGAGAAAAGTACAACAGTAAAAATTTGTTCCGAACATACCTCAAACATTGACAGTGTACCACTCCGATATATCTCATCACCAGGGGGATGCTTGAGATCACACTTCTTCTACAGAGTGGAAGATTAAAAGAAGAGTAAATAACAAGTATTTAAGTCTTAAGTCTATCAAATGTGAAGCAATATAAAACTATAAAAGATAGTAAGGAACAAAATCCAAACATTGGCAAATATACTCCCATATTTCATCCTATCCTCAATGTAATGAAGAAAGGAAAATAGACTAGAACAGTTTCAGTACTTAATTAGTGAAATTCACATCTCACCATGTGCCTTTGAAGCTGCTCTTTGCGCTTCATGAAGTTGAGGCAAAATTCACAAAAGTACAGCTTCAGTGAATCACTGTACTCTGCTGGAAAAGGAGAGAAGTACCATGTCTCAATTTCATATCTCCCAAGCTCTATGGTAGCTATATTTTTTACTTTTGTGAATTCCTCATGTTCACGCAAGCTAGCGGCATCAAGCTCCTCATGCCCCTATATGATTCAAAGGAACATGTTCAAACAATATAATTTCAAGAAATTTTTTTATTTAAAAAAATGTACAATCTATTTATACATCACAATATTTAGTTGTGACAAACTACCTTTATCTTCAGTACAAGTAATGTCAGTTCAAGCACAAATAAATTATAAAGTAATCTATTACAAATACCAAGGAACGACAGTGAAAAATCCGTTGTGCAGTGCAGGCTTCCAAGAGAAAGAGTGATTTTAAAATTTGAAAGCCTAGTCTCTGGTGCTAATCAAATCTGATTAACATAGAAGTGAAACTTCTCAATAATTTAGACTGACAACAACCATGTTTCAGATGCTAGCTCATCAATTATATGTGCTTTCAGAGTTCTCTAGTACTAGTAAGCTTATCATTTCTAGAAAGCTTTATATTTTAAAATAGCTATACCCTCCTGCAATTACAATAACCCTCATATCATCCAGCTACAGTTTTATTCGCATACCTCTACATGTGTCTCATCAATCTTCCGTTTCTGGTGGCGTGTCATTTTTAAGCTTGTTACCTGCAATTCATCCAATAATTTTTCTGATCAGGACAAAAACTGGGGAGAAAGAAACACAGTGAAAAAGGTTTCATGTTGGAAGGACGGAGTCTACCTTGTCTTCAACTTTTTCATCAACAACAGCCTCCACTGAATCAAGATCAAGTTGTTCAAGCTTTACCCATTCATCAAGCCTCCTATTAACTGTCAAGCACAAAAGGATCAAGAAGACTTCTTAACATTTTAAATATCAAAAGGAACACAATGAACACCACGACTGGAAGTATACAACTCAAAAATCAGGAAATGCCATACTACAAATTTCAACGTCTGTAACAACTTTGAAAACTATGAATGTATAATTGAGCAAATGAATTCATTGAATTCAAATTCATTGCAGCTAGTTAAAATAAGCTAAGCTAAACCCTAACCCTAGAGAGAGGAGAAATCTTACATTCGGTGTAATGGACATAGTACTCGTAATCATTGGGGCCGCCGGAGTGCATTTTACGCCGTTCAATGACCTTAACGGGATGATACTTGCCGTCCCTCCATCGGCACATTACGCGACTACCAACGTCGAGAGGGAGCACACTATTCCTCCTCTTTTTCAACGCCTCCGATTCCAGCGTCATTTCTGCCCGAGCTCCGTTGCGGACGACAAGAGGCTTTTGATCGGCGTCTCCCGTGGTACCGGAAGCAGGGGTTGCGGCGCCGTTGTTCTCCGCACTCGTCGGTGTCTCGAGGGAACCCATAGCCGGCGTTGCTTTCGGTTCTGCTAGAATGCGCGTCTTCTCCAGATCGTGTATGTATGGGCCGTGGGCTCCGTACAGAAAACTTCTATACATTACGAATAGGAATTTTACATGTCTTTATGGGCCAAGTTTGGACTATTTTAGATAGCCCAAAGATAAAAGAGTTCGATTGGGCTTCTATTTTCAGGGAAGTTATTATTTTATGCCCTCAACCTTATATATGTCATTCTCAATACACCCAAAACCCTTTTTTCTTAACAATTTTGTCCGAAACGTCAAGAAAACAACAGATGGTGTGGGGTCCAATGGAATAAACAGGAAATTCATTCGGAACCCATAACAAGGAAAAAAAAGGTTCAAACACCATCTTGCGTCCAATTGCTTTTAAGATCATCCAAGATGAATAAGTTTGTTTAATTTTGAGATATACAAACTTATTTTAAAATATCATAACAAATTTTAATTATTTAACTAACCAATAGAGTCAATGATTTAAATAATTCAGTAGTAATCTCATTCTACTGAAAATAAAAAATCTTGAATTTAAATCACATGACATGTGGATAAGGTGAAATAAGGAAAATGATAGAGTTGTCTTTTATTGTACAATCAACATAAAAAAAAAAAAACCAATAAGAGAAATACTGAGATATTTTAACTAAAAAAATTGTTTTAAAAGGTTAATAGAAATAAATTTTTATAAATTCTATAACTTCTATACAAATTTTGCTTCTTATCAAATTGAAGAATAATTAATTATTTTTAAAAATATGCAAGTATGCGCAAACTAAGGTGAAGCACTCTAACTACTAAAGAAAAAAAAGGGAGAAATTCCCTCTATAATGGATTGATGTGTCACGTAAGGAGGTGATGGAAGCCTTAAATATCAGACACAACAAATGGCCTGTAAGCATGCTTATTGCCATGTCTAGATATATATAGTTTTGTTTGGATGCAGAGAGCACCAGCCACCAGCCATGAGTTCATGAATCCAACAAAAACTGATAGTAATTCGGAAAGCTACTTGTGTGAAAAAGGCTTCATCCATTTAAGGCAAAGATAACCAAAGATACGAGTTTGGGTTCGATGGGTGATTACCACAAAGCTGGATAATGGCCTTTTCTACTGCCACAAACTTTTGCATCAGATAGCATTCAACAATAAACAATCAAATGCCAAACTTTTGTCAATAAGAAAAAAAAAAATTGTATTGAAGATTTAAAGTTTACCATTAAAATTTTCACAAGATACACATTGTTTTCTTTGTTGGGATGGATTTAACATGAACCTAAGCACATGATGATCTCATATTGTCATTTTCATAACATAAAGTAGGTGTACCTTCCCAAATTCATTTCAAATGACAGAAAGTAGCATCCAACTTTTGGGATCCCATTAAAGAACGACACAACACATGATCTCTTCCGTGATAATGGGTGGACATCTTGTTGGCACTTCCCTAAAATATCACCCCCGTCCCCCCAACAATTGAAATCAAGATTTTGCTATACACTTAAATCATTTGGTGATGTACTCCCTATGAGGTATAAGTGGTTATCTTTTTTCGCGTGAGAAGTAAGGTAGAGCACAACACATAATCATTAAGTTAATTTTTTGATATTAAGTACTTTAATAGATATTAATTTATTAATTATGATTCTTATAATAATAATAAAAAAATCATTTGGTGACAATCCCTTTTTGTATGTAGATTAAATTTGTATACATTACAAATCATTGTCGTCAAGAAAGTAGCAAATCTTGGTGGAAACCCTTGGAGTTGAGTATATACACGTTCTTAAAATTATGGATCTCAACCTATCTAGACCTCCTCTTCCAACTTTTTTAATTTTTTAATAATCCTTCCAACAAACTTTTTAATCTAGTTAGCAAATCTCATCTGTACACAAAACAAATCACGTTATCTTATTTAAGTTTATCCATTAAAAAAAAAATGTAAGGGTTGTATTTGAAAATATAATTTGAATTTAAGATCATTTAAGACTCAATTTTCAAAATTTTGTATTTTAAGAAGAGTTTGAAGAAAAATTACATATTAATATTAACCTTAACACAAAAAATTATTGTTTTAACTTAATAAACATAACTTTCTAATAAGTATTTTTAAAATTTTAATTGTTAAATTTAATGTTCTATTAATATAAATCATATATATATCAATTTTTAAGGTTTTTTTTTTTATAATCTTGATTCCAAAATGAGAAATAACTATTTTTCATTTTTTATTTCATTTCATCTGTATGACATGCGAGTTGAAATTAATATTTCTTACTTTTAACGAAAAAAAATTACAACTGAATTATTTAGTCTGTTGATAACTTTTAAGTTAATTTAACATCTAATAATTATTTGATTAATAAACTTATTTTTTTAATATATATTTAATAAAAATTATAAAAAAAAATTTAATTATTATTTATATTTTTTATTAAATTTTTATTTAAAATTAATATCTAAAAAAAGTTAAAAACTCCGGATATACAATCTAATGGCTTGAACATAGTAAGTACAAAATAATACATCATTATAATGTGCATGATACAACGGAAGGAATTGAGGAAGAAATCTGTTTTATATGGAGTAGAATACTATAATCCCTCCACACGCAGAGAAAACCGGCATGGCTGAGCAATCGGAGGTTGTTTAACCAGGCATAAACAACAACGAACACCACGCATTGGGAAGCGGACAATCTTGGGAGAAGGTGAAGCAAAATCCGCCAGCTCCCCTTTTTACACCTGATGGTGTTCTCTCTTCATTTCCTTCTCTCACATGACTCCTTCCCACATAACTCAGACTCACTCTCGAACTCGAACACTCCTTCCTCTGTTTCAATTTTTTTTTTTTAAATCCCAAGAGATTTGAGCGTTTTTTATTTTTCAATTTTCTGAAGAAAACGAAAATCCCACTTTTTTTCTTACTTCAAAATTGTTATCTTTTGGGTATATTGATTTTCCTTTTTTTTTTATTATTCTCTTCAGTCAAGGTAACAAGATTTCAGGATTCTCAGGCAGGGATTCTAAATAAAATTTTTGAATACGCAAATTTCAACTGGGTTTATGTTGTGTGATTTTTGATATAGTCCATCAAGAGCGTAAGGGAAAAAAACTAAACTTTCCTGGAAATTACTGAGAAAAGGCGAGAAAAGAGGTAGCTTTTACGTGAGTTTGTAGTTATCAAACAGAGGAAACTGGAAAGGACCTAGAGACGGCAAGAGAGTTGTAGAAAATTGGTTTTTCTGAGGAAAGTGAAGGGGAGAAAGAATGGCCGGGAATGAGTGGATAAATGGGTACCTGGAGGCGATATTGCACAGTGGGGCGGCGGCTATAGAGGAGCAAAAGCAGGCGCAAGTGAATGAGAAAGGAGGGCATTTCAACCCCACGAAATATTTTGTGGAGGAGGTGGTGACGGGGGTGGATGAGACTGATCTCCACCGGACATGGATCAAGGTGGTCGCCACCCGCAACACCCGTGAGCGCAGCTCCAGGCTCGAGAACATGTGCTGGCGCATTTGGCACCTTACCCGCAAGAAGAAGCAGGTCCTCCACTCCTCTCCCATGTATAGTTTAACAATGAACTTCAATTTAACATGAGAGTAATTACTAAAAACTTTAAATTTCATGCTTATGATACAAACAGCTGGAATCGGAGGAAAACCAGCGATTAGCAAAGCGGAGATGGGAACGGGAACAAGGACGCAGGGATGCCACAGAAGACATGTCCGAGGACTTGTCTGAAGGAGAGAAAGGAGACATTATAGCGGAAATGGTGCAATGTGAATCACCAAATAGAAGGTTCCAGCGAAATTTTTCCAGCTTAGAAGTATGGTCCGATGACAAAAAGGAAAAGAAACTTTATATTGTTCTCATGAGGTATATTGCTTAGTAGAATTTATAATCAGTATGTTCGAAAGACATGGTATGTGATCATGCATGTTATATCTGGCTATAGATTCTTTGAAGAACGTAATTGATAATTGGATTTCTTATTATGACCAGTTTACATGGTCTGGTGCGGGGAGAAAATATGGAGCTTGGTCGAGATTCTGATACAGGTGGACAGGTACATGCTGGATTCCAGAACAAGCAGAAAGTATCATTATTTATATTTTCTAATTTCATTTCCTGTTTTGTGGTTTTATGGAAATAATTTGCTCAGGTTAAGTATGTGGTGGAGCTTGCCAGGGCACTTGCAAAGATGCCAGGGGTGTATAGGGTTGATCTTTTTACTAGGCAGATCTCTTCACCTGAAGTTGATTGGAGCTATGGTGAACCTACAGAAATGCTAACTGCAGGTGCTGAACATGGAGATGGGAATGAGATTGGAGAAAGTAGTGGTGCCTATATTATCAGGATTCCTTTTGGTCCACGTGATAAGTATCTTCATAAAGAGTTGTTATGGCCCTATAGTCAGGAATTTGTAGATGGAGCTTTATCTCATATTCTTAACATGTCTAAAGTTTTGGGTGAACAAATTGGCGGGGGCCGGCCAGTGTGGCCATATGTGATTCATGGCCATTATGCTGATGCTGGGGACAGCGCTGCTCTACTCTCAGGAGCTTTGAATGTCCCGATGGTTCTAACGGGACACTCACTTGGGAGAAACAAGCTTGACCAACTTCTTAAGCAAGGACGGCAATCAAAGGAGGATATCAACTCAACATACAAAATTATGAGAAGGATTGAAGCAGAGGAACTTTCTTTGGATGCTGCTGAACTTGTTATCACAAGTACCGAACAGGAGATTGAAGAGCAATGGGGACTTTATGATGGATTTGATGTCAAGCTTGAGAAAGTTTTACGTGCACGTGCTAGACGTGGAGTAGACTGTCATGGTCGATACATGCCTAGGATGGTGGTAAGCAGATTTTTCTTTTCGTTACTGCTTCCCTCATTACCACATTTCTAAGATGCCTCTTATGTTCAAACTTCATAATGCAAATTCTGCTCCTTTTCATCAACTTATATCTCTATAGGAGCCAACATAATGGTTGTGAGCTTGCTTAACCTCTGTAAAACATTAAGATAAATTAGAAATTTCCATGATTGCTTGATTTCAATGGACGAGTGGCTGGGACCTTCTCTTTAACCGCTAAAGCAGAATGTTACTACAGGTTATTCCTCCTGGCATGGACTTCAGTAATGTTGTTATTCAAGAAGATGCCCCTGAGATTGAGGGAGAAATTGCAGCTCTCGGTGCAGGTACTGAGGGGTCATCTCCAAAAGCAATTCCATCAATATGGTCAGAAGTGAGTGACATATTGCTTAATATTTCTACTGTGGGGTAATAGTAGCATAAACATTATATCTTCATATAATAGTTCTATTGACAGGTGATGCGGTTCCTTACAAATCCCCACAAGCCCATTATCTTAGCATTGTCAAGGCCTGATCCAAAGAAGAACATAACCACTCTTGTCAAAGCCTTTGGAGAGTCGCGTCCCTTGAGAGAGCTTGCCAATCTTGTAAGTCTGTTTTGTGAGCAAGTTGATTTTATATCCAGACCAAGGATTGATTTATCTGTTTAGGAAAATGGAAACTAATATATATTCTTTTGTGTAGACACTTATCATGGGGAATAGAGATGATATTGATGAGATGTCTTCTGGAAATGCTAGTGTGCTTACAACAGTTTTGAAACTTATAGACAAGTATGACCTCTACGGGCTGGTGGCCTACCCAAAGCATCACAAACAATCTGATGTTCCAGAGATATATAGACTTGCGGCAAAAACAAAGGTTTCTTGGAGTTCATGTTCATCTTTTTTAGTACTAGCTTTGTACACTTTTACAACTTATTTTCAGCACTACCTTTATACAATTTTAAGTGATAATTAGCTAATGGATGGAAATATGACAGGGAGTTTTCATAAATCCTGCACTAGTCGAACCTTTTGGGCTTACGTTGATTGAGGTTGGTTTTGATTGATAACCTTCTTGTGATGTCATCATTTTATATTCAACCAAATGACAATTTTTTTTGAATATTTATTTTGAAACCATATGTAGGCTGCCGCACATGGACTTCCTATGGTGGCTACTAAAAATGGTGGACCAGTTGACATCCAGCGGGTAAGGATGTCTTCCATTATTCCATACTTTCCTCACTTGAAGCTAAGAAGAGAATTTGATATAGATTAATGTAGATTATCAATAATTCATTTAAGAGTGTTGAATACTGATTCTGTTTTGTTATCAATTTAGGCTTTAAATAATGGCCTCCTTGTAGACCCACATGACCAGCAAGGAATTGCTGATGCACTGCTTAAGTTGGTTTCGGAGAAAAACTTATGGCAAGACTGTAGAAAGAACGGTTGGAAGAACATACACCTCTATTCATGGCCTGAACACTGCCGCACTTACTTGACCAGAGTTGCTGCCTGTCGGATGAGACACCCTCAGTGGCAAACTGATACTCCAGGGGATGAGACGTTTGTTGACGAAATGTCATTTAATGACTCACTTAAGGATGTCCAAGATATGTCTCTTAGGCTTTCGGTTGATGGAGAAAAAACTTCCCTAAATGAATCTTTGGACCATGCAGCTGCAGCCAATGGTGATCCTGAGCTGCAAGATCAAGTGAAACGAGTGCTAAGCAAGATAAAGAAGCCAGAGTCTGAATTAAAAGACACTGAAGGTGGGAAGCTTGATAAATTAGCCAGCAAGTATCCATTCTTGAGGAGGAGGCGTAGATTGATTGTTATTGCACTTGATTGCTATGACAGCAAGGGGTTTCCAGAGAAGAAGATGATTCAGGTAGTACTAGATATACTAAAGGCTGGGCGGTTTGACTCTCAAACTGCAAGAGTTACAGGGTTTGCGATATCAACAGCCATGCCAGTGTCAGAAACATTAAACTTTCTGAAAGCAGCAAAGATTCAAGTAACCGAGTTTGATGCTTTGATCTGTAGTAGTGGTAGTGAGGTTTATTACCCTGGCACTTACATAGAAGAAGATGGGAAACTTTTTCCAGATCCAGATTATGCCTCACATATTGATTACCGCTGGGGTTGTGAGGGTCTAAAGAAGACCATTTGGAAACTGATGAACACACCTGAAGGCGAAGGAAAATCTCATTGTACTTCCAGTCCCATTGAGGAAGATGTGCAATCAAGTAATGCTCACTGTATCACATACACAATAAAAGATCCAAAGAAGGTACACATACAAATATTACTACTACTAGCATGAGTAGTACCATTTTTCATTGTTTTGGTATTAATTATAACTTGCCTTTCCAGGTAAAGAAAGTGGATGAAATTAGGCAGAAGCTTAGGATGCGTGGTCTTCGTTGCCATCCAATGTATTGTAGAAACTTGACTAAAATGCAAACTGTTCCTCTCGTTGCATCTCGAGCACAGGCACTGAGGTAATCTACAGCTAGAAGTGCTTTCAGGATTAGCAATATGCTGCACTGCTAAAAGGTCTTAATAAAACAGGAAAACTACTTCTGAATGTTTCATTTTTAAGAAGACAATGAATTAGCTTCATTTTTAACTAAATTCTTGTGATTACCTTCTATACTTCAATGGCTACTACTTTTGAGCTTGATTATAACATCCCGTTTTTATGTTGATTTTTTGTTCAATCTTTGCATTTGATTGTTAGATACCTCTTTGTTCGTTGGAGACTGAATGTTGCAAACATGTTTGTGATTCTTGGTGAAACTGGAGACACCGATTATGAGGAATTGATATCTGGGACTCACAAGACTCTGATCATGAAAGGAGTGGTGGCCAAGGGTTCTGATGAACTGCTCAGAACAACTGACCTAAAAGACGACATTTTTCCTACTGAGAGCCCCTTCATCACCTCCATCAGCGATGGAGCAAAGGCAGAGGAGATTGCCAATGCCCTAAAACAAATATCCAAAGCAGGTCAATAGAAGCTCCAGCTGCTATATATGGATAATGACATTCATAGTCCAGTCAGTATTATTCATAGCTTATATAATGTATTCCTACTCAGAAAGCATTAACCAATATATTTTTCTTTTTTCAGTTGTATCTAAATAAGTTTTCCCAAGCTTTTGTTACTGGTATATAGCAACCTTTCTTCCTTCCTGATGTTTATAATATATAGTTCTGAATTACAAGATACAGATTTAATTTCTTCTGCTAATGTCTATGGACATGTAAAAGGAATTTGATTTTCATGTTTGGTTCATCATTGATAATTATTTTGGATTCCAGACATGCTAGAAAAAGAAACAAGATGAGCATATATATATATATATTTATATATATTTAAGTGACTTCTCAGGCGGATAATTGTTCCACCAGCTAAAAGTTAAAACACTTGACCAATCTTAAGTCAGGCCTCAGCTTTCTAATTTTTTATTTATTTTATCTTTTTTATTGTCTTCTTAAGAGAGGGAAGCTTCTCTTTCTTTTTCTTTTACGTATAGGAACTTATTGACTTCAAATTGGCCCAAAATAAAAATGAATATTGACTTCAAACAACTTTGGGCGCAAGCAAAGCATTAGTATTTTTTTAAAAAAATTTAGCAATTGTGGTATTTCTGGATTAGTTTTTGTGTGTTATTTATGCTAATATTAAAAAAATCATGAAATATTAATTTTTTTTCAAATAATCAAATCTTGATCAATAAAATAGAAAATAAATTATCTTAACAACTAAATCACGTCTCCATGGGTATATTTATTTCTTTTTAATTCTCTTTTTCATGGACTCATTAATTGTACATTTTACTATCATTAATTTGAATTTAAAAAATAGTGATGTTAACTTTTATCTTTTTTTTTTTATATAATAAGAATAATTTTTTATACATATTCTTACCCTACCATGAGAGATGGGGAAAGAGAACCAAAAGGAGTAAAAAATTTAACTTGGAGTGGTGTTCTTATTAAAGGACAAGTAACAAATCATTTGGTCCAAGTACGAGGAATATGGTATTAATTTTATCAATTGAGTATTTAATTAAAATTATTCATATGATATTTTTATGGAAGATAAAGTCAACTTTTTTATTACTAGTATAAAATAATATTATGTTTGTTCATTTTTAGTTGTCACTTTTTTTTTTTTTTGTGTGTAACACAATAAAAGAGAATTAAAAATAAATAAATAAATACTTTAAAATTGTTGCTCCATATCTAAGTACTAAAGAAAGAGAACTTAACTGAACAAAGAAAAGAGTGTATGGGTGCCTAATTCATTTATGATACTGTATTAATTTTTGTCTAAGTAAACGGCTTAATTTGGGCCCCCCAAAAAAAAGGCTTAATTGGTTGTGAAGAAAATTTTGGGGGGCTTATGTTAGGGTTTTTGCCTGAAACGCCCGCGGGTAAGACTAAAAATCCAACCGTACTCTGACACAACAGACTCATTTCGGAGAACCCAAAACTCAGCTCAAGCACCTCCGTTCCGCCGCCGAGTGTAACCGTGGAAAAATCTTTCCGTCTGCCATGGCTCACCAGAATCAGACGGCCCCGAAGCTCCCGATCCCTGGCAAGCGCAACATCCTCATCACCAGCGCCTTGCCGTACGTCAACAACGTGCCTCATCTCGGCAACATCATCGGCTGTATGTACTCCTCAGACTCAGAGTGTCCTATTATCGAATCTCAACACATGTGTATGATTAATTGATTTTGTTTGATTTTTCTTTGAAGGCGTTCTGAGCGCCGACGTGTTTGCCCGGTACTGCCGTCTCCGAGGGTACAATGCGATATACATCTGTGGGACCGATGAGTACGGGACGGCAACCGAGACCAAGGCCATGGAAGAAAAATGCTCGCCCAAAGAGATTTGTGACAAGTACTTTATATACACATATATATATTTTTTGAAAATGAAAATTGAAATTCCTATATGTAGTTGATGCATTAGGCTACTGAATTCTATTGTAATTTTTTTTTTTTAATTTTGGAATTTTTAGGTACCATGCGATTCATAAACAAGTTTATGATTGGTTCGATATCAGTTTTGATAAATTTGGCCGTACTTCAACCCCGGAGCAGACTGAAATTTGCCAAGCAATCTTCAAGAAGCTGTTGGGGAACAATTGGCTCTCGGAGAACACCATGCAACAGGTAGATAGATATTTCCCAGGGAAGATTTTAGTTTGTGTAGCTATAGCTGCCTTATTTTCGTTTACATACAGTTTGGTGACCATTTTTGGACTTGAATTCTTGTTGCCATTTAGCTTTATTGCACAAAGTGCGAAAGGTTCTTAGCTGATCGGCTTGTTGAAGGTACCTGTCCTAAAGAAAGCTGTAAATATGAATCTGCTAAAGGTGATCAGTGTGAGAATTGTGGAGACATGTTGAATCCCACTGACCTGATAAATCCGAGATGCAAGGTACTGCAGAGATTTATTGCTTTCTTCAATTTTTTCATTTTCTAATTTTGTTTGATGAATCACTGTTAACGTGTCTTATCTACTAGTGCTTTAGTAATTGTAAAGTATAAAGTAAAGGCTTAGAAGTTATATTGCCAAGTTTGATGCAACCTACAACACTGCCAAACTGTTGCATAGTGTTACCAATGAAAAAATAACCGTCAATGCCCAGTTTCTGCAATGTATGGTGGATTCATATTTGATAAAATTGATGATTTAGTGCCATATTGAATTTTTTTTTTTTTAAATCTAGTGAAGACTTTTGAAACAGGATTTATAAATACGGATCATTGGAACAAGTACGCATTTTAAGGAAGATGATCTCACAGTTATTTTTGTATCTATCATGCTGATGGTTGAGCTATGATTCATAAATAGGTCTGTCAAACCACTCCGCAAATTCGTGACACAAGACATCTTTTCCTTGAGCTTCCTTTACTGAAAGACAAATTAGTAGAGTACGTTGACAAAACATCAGTGGCTGGAAGTTGGAGCCAAAATGCTATTAGTACAACTACTGGATGGCTTAAAGATCTTAAAGAAAGATGTATTACTAGGGATCTGAAGTGGGGGGTTCCAGTTCCACATGCAGATTTTAAGGATAAGGTAACTTACATGAAAGTGATAAATGTGACTGGAGTATTTTAGTTCTTGAATGAATATAACAATCAAATAGGTGATTATGTTATATATATTTCCAACTTCTGACCTCATGATTATAGGTTTTCTACGTCTGGTTTGATGCACCTATTGGATACATTTCAATTACTGCTTGTTACACTCCAGATTGGGAGAAGTGGTGGAAAAACCCTGAAAATGTGGAGCTTTATCAATTTATGGGAAAGGATAATATTCCATTTCATACGGTAAGCATTATTTTATTCATATCTCGTAAACTGTTTTGAGAAAAATGGATGTTGAGCTGATTGATTTTGCACATTCCAAATTTTGATAAAGTATTTTCCACTGAAAGACACTCAACCTAGGTTTTGTTTCTATAATTTTAGAATCACTCATTAGTCAATAATTGAGTTCTTATATCCCTCTGAGAAAAGGGATATGAGACAGGAACTAAAACTTCTCAAGTAGTCCTGGAAGGCTTGAGGGTGATATTCGTTGAATGCTTGGCTCTCTAATTTTTTGAAAATGAAGATGGGCTCCTTGATTTCATACTGAGAGAGAGAAATACCTTTTGCAAGAACTGAGAAGTTTTCAATTTAAAACCTTTGCCAATTGCTGGTTTTTAGTTGACTAAGGTGGTCCGTTTAGTTGGACAGGGGTTGGAGCCCCAAAGTTCTTCTACCTCTGTAACTCTTTGGCAACTAAGGGAGTCTGTTTGGTGGGCTGATGCCATTCTATGTTTCCCATTTTCTCTGCAATCCTTAAGTTGACCAAGGAGGTCTTACTAGCTTACTAAAAGGATTTCTTGAGACTTTGGGAGTTGCCTTCATCCAGTTCATTAGTCAGAATAGTCTCGCTTTTGTGGTTCTCCTTTAAATTGCTTTTGCTTCTTTTGAGTTTAAGTACATAACTAATGCAATGGAATACAAGTATTAGTGTTCTCAGACCCGTTTGACATTTTCAAAATCATTATCATGAAGTTAACATAACTAGCGAAGATTGCTAAGCCTTTGTTCATTTTAATTAATTGTTGCTTTCACAAATCTTGCTCTTCTTTTTTGTGATGCTAGTATTCATGGACCCATAAATGCATTTGTTACCCTTGAACTAAATGAAGGAAATATAATACAAATGCCCACATATATAGATATATATATTTTTTTGTTTATTCTGTATCTTTAAACATTCTTAACTTTTTAAACCATATATTTCCACATTTCAGGTTATGTTTCCATCTACACTTATTGGAACCGGTGAAAACTGGACAATGATGAAGACTATCAGTGTGACAGAATACTTGAATTATGAAGCTGGTCAGCAACTATCTGATTTTTTATCAGCCAATACACAATGGAGGAAGAACTGATTTTGCATTTTGGAATGATGAATTATAGACAGCTTTTAACTGATTTTGCATTTTATTATCCTCACATTATTGAAAATTTTTATTTGCATGGTTTCTGCAGGTAAATTTTCTAAGAGTAAAGGCATAGGTGTTTTTGGTAATGATGTAAAACATACAAATATTCCTATTGAGGCCTGGCGGTACTACTTGTTGACCAATAGACCGGAGGTAATTCTGTTCACCTAGCATATGTTATGGATGTTCTTTTCTTTTCTTTTCTTTATTTCTTTCCTTTTTCTTTTCTAAAATCCTTGATTCTACTTATTACTTGGTGTTTTTATTGTGTTGTAAAAATTAGGTGTCTGACACCCTATTTACATGGAGTGACTTGCAAGCAAAACTAAACAATGAGTTGCTAAGCAATTTGGGCAACTTCATCAATAGAGTTTTAAGTTTCATTGCAAAACCTACAGGTTTGTCTGCTGCTTGAAATGAAGCCTATAGTTTCCACTACTTCGCTTGTTCACATAGCTTTGAGCAGAAACTTTTTATTGATAATGTCATTTTTTGTGTAATGGGAATCTTCCATTTTTGCTGTTTATGAGAGCATTGTATGTTTAATTTCATTGCTTCCTCTTAAACACTATTTCAAGTCTACCATGATTAACCAAATTCTACTATGAGCATGGAACAATAATAACTTTATTAATGGACTAGTACTATAACCTTCAGTTAGCCAGTGGATTTAACTAACTTTTCTATTTACAGGTCAAGGATATGGTTCCATTATTCCTGATGCGCCAGGTGCAGAGTCACATCTCTTGACAAAGACATTGGCCGTGCAAGTTGGTAAATACATGGAACAATATGTAGAAGCCATGGAAAAGGTGACAATGTTTATTTTTATGACAGTTCTTCAGATGATACAAGAACATTAACCCTTTCCTCTAGAGCCCTCCATTCCTTGTATTACTCTTATAGACTCTTTTTGACTTGGCCTTTGAGTAGGTAAAACTAAAGCAAGGCCTGAAACTTGCAATGGGCATCTCCAGTGAAGGAAATGCATATCTCCAAGTAAGCTAGGAAACCTTTTAATAGTTCATTAGCTATAAAGATTTCATTTTCCTGTTTGATCTGTTATGGATCTGTTGTGATTGTGCGTGCAGGAAAGTCAGTTTTGGAAGCTTTACAAAGAAGACCAGCCTTCTTGTTCTATAGTTATGAAAACTGCAGTTGGGATCGTTCACATTCTTGCGTGTTTGCTGGAGCCATTTATGCCATCTTTTACTGTTGAGGTAAATATAGTTGGTGGTCAGCTTCATCTGTTGTAATGACATGCTTGGAGGTTTTTCTTTGTCATGCAAAGGAAGATGTATGACATGATTTCTTACAAATTCTTTTGCTTCCTTTATGTGTTTAAAGGTGTTTAAGCAGCTTAATTTGCCTCAGCAAGAACAACTTTCACTGTCTGATGAAAAAGGAGAAATAGATAGGGCTAGAAGACTATGGGAGATAGTTCCAGCTGGTCATAAAATTGGAGAACCCAAGCCATTGTTTGAAGAACTGGTAGACCATATGCCCCCTCTCTCTTGCTTGTTTGAGAAATTTCTGGTGATCTTCTTCCCTTTCTGCTCATTCTAATGTTGTGGAAACTAATTAATGATAGAAACCTGAGAGAGTGGATGAATTGAGAAACAAGTATGCCGGAAGTCAAGCTGAGAGGGCTGAAGCTGAAGCAGCGAAGATTGCTGAGCAAGTGAAGAAAACTAAAATTTCAGGTTAAATTTCAACTTCCTATATTTAGTGGCATTTGTAATTTGTTTCTTACAGCTGTTCATTGTACTACTAATAATGTCTTTGAGCACTTTGGCCTTCTGTGATTTTTCATGAAAACAATATTCACAGATCAGTTTAATGGATTTATTATTTCCAAGATACTTAGGTAGCTTATTCATTGTCAGTTCAGTCGTACTGCATAATGATAAGACAATAAATGTGTGAAGGTGCTTCTAGAGGCACTTCTATTATAACTGCCAAAGTAAACTATCAATTCCTACTTCTTTCAATTAGAAGAATATTGCAAGGATTTTGGTACTCTTGAATATTCATTTAAAATATATATTTATTCAAACTGAATTTTTAGCCTTTTCTTGTACATTTGGGAGTTTAAAGAAATTTTTTTTCTTACATTGCTAATTGCATTTTTTTTGTTGAGCTTGAGCTTACATAGAGGAACCCTGTTATCTGTAACAGATGGCAAGAAACAGCGGCCGTCAAAATCTGCAGCTGAAGCTAATAAATGTAAGCCTGCTGCTGAGCCTGAAATTTCAATTACCAGACTTGATATACGAGTTGGCAAAATTTTGAAGGCTCAGAAGCATCCTGATGCTGATTCACTGTATGTTGAAGAGATTGATGTGGGTGAAGCACAGCCTCGAACTGTTGTCAGTGGACTTGTCAAATACATACCCCTTGAAGAGATGCAGGTTTTTTCTTGTTAATCCTTAGAGATGATGGAATACCTCTTTCGGGGGGTTTGGGGTGGGGAAGTTTCTCAGTGATGATGTACAGCATAAAATCACTAACAAATTCATTTTAATAATTCTTGGGCAGGAGCGCATGATCTGTGTTCTTTGTAATCTGAAGCCAGCAACCATGAGGGGTATTAAATCACAGGCAATGGTTCTTGCAGCTTCTAACAGTGATCACACAAAGGTAAGCATAGCAGATTAAGATACCTTCTTTGCTTGCATATTTGGGTGTGTTGTTTATCATCTTTTCTTGTGATATTGTCCTCATCTTTTAGGTTTGATTTTTTTTTTTTGTTTGTTTGTTTGTTTGTTTGTTTGTTTGTTTGTTTGTCAGTGGAACATTCAGCTAAAATGTTTGTTGCTAAAATCCACTTGAGTTATTTACTGGAAATTGCTAAATGTTTGTTGTAGACTTGTGAGAGGAAGATTCATATTGGATGGAATGGCAAACTATTGTTTGATTTATAGTTTCTAATAAGCACGGGAATGCCTCTGAAATATCTTACACGCTTGTCTTCATTGTTGGTATTTCTGGGTTATATGAATGCCATCACTTTCACAATGCCTTTCAGGTCGAATTGGTTGAACCGCCCAAGTCAGCTACTGTTGGGGAGAGAGTTACTTTTCCTGGTTTTGAAGGTGAACCGGATGATGTCTTAAACCCTAAAAAGAAGGTTTGGGAGACTCTGCAAGTCGATCTGCACACTGATGCAAATCTGGTGGCTTGCTACAAAGATATTCCTTTGACCACATCAGCAGGTGTTTGCACCGCGTCATCCATTTGCAATGGTTCCATTAGGTAGATTTTTACTGCTGTTACAACATGAGAACCATTGCGTAGATTTTTATTGGTGTTCTAACGTGAATACCCACCATAACACGGTTTTGGTGTTTACAGTTACCACAACATTTTTAGTCTCTTCTTCACAGTATGAACTATGTAGCATTCTAGTTTAAGTTTAGAAAATAGAAAACACAGTGTAATTTTGACATTGATTTATTTCTGGATGGTTGATATAAGGATTATTCTCTCACTAGTGTTTCGAAGTGAAGAGATTTCAATCTTTGATGCAGTTGTCAAAAGACACTGCTAATTTGATTAGCTCCCACTCCCACTCTCAACAAACGAGCTAAGAAGAGTAATTAATTCAATGCCTTTTTTCTGCTGGGGAGAAATGTGAATATTTGCACTTCTGCAAAACAACTAAGCATGATATTAGGAATGTTTATGCTTTGATCTAGTGGTTAAAAACATTGATTAATAGGGATCATCTCTTGTGAGTTACATTTTTCAATTTTAAGACTTTTTTTCTCCAGTTTCTTTATTAGTAAAATACATACTAATTGTTCTCCTTAGAACAAAAAAAAAAAAAAACAAAGCAAAATATTAGGAAGGTCCCTGACTCTCTCAACAATGCATATTACGACAAAAAAAAAATTAAATTAAATTAAAGTTCACGTTAATATCATGAATAGCTTTATGGTGGTTTATCATTCACGGTCACAGACGACCCGGACCGGAATCTCAAATCTGGGAGAACCATTCACCACGGGATCCAAAACCAAATCAATCTCAGCCGTCCACAGGCTCCATCCAACGGACACCACTCTCTACACGTTATTGTCGACTCCCACGTGTATCCTATTAAAGCCGTCCCCCCACGCGCCTTCTCCCGCTGCCCCCCAAGTTACCTTACCCTTTCCCACTTCCCACTTCCCACTTCCCACTTCCCACTTCCCACTTCCGTTTCTCTTTTCCTCTCCCCCTGGAGGGAATCAATCAAAGCTACGAAGAGAATCGGAGCGTTTGGGAACACTAGATCTGATTGCTCTGAGGTTAGTCGTCACATCATTTTTCTCTCCTCTTTTTTTTCCCATCTTAAGTTTTATTTATTTATTTTTATTTTTTTCCCTTTGGTATCTTTCTTTTCTCTTCAAATGGTGGTATTGCTTTGAGCAATGCTGGGTGGATTCTGTTTTGAGTTTTGAATTTACTGTTTTAATGGGTCAATGGGTTGAAGCCAAATGTTAAGGGTATCAAGTGAGGTGATGGGTTGAGAGAGTTTTGGAGGATAGCGCATTGTGTTAAAGCCTATATACTCTGTTTTCTTGAGCTAATATATATAATAAGCCCTTCGAAGGGTACAGTTCAGGTTATGTAGTAGTATGTGACCAACAGAGCCTGGATTTTCAGTCTTTGGATGTTTGCTAAATTGGCAGGCTTGAAAAATTTTTGTTGGAGTTGGGAGTTTTAGAGTGTTGGGATTACATGTTAGTTATAGATTTATTGGAGTTTCGCAATAATATTGTTTTGGGGAATGGAGTGCCTGGAATTTAAGAGATTAAGTCTTGTGGGGTTCTTCAGAATGTTCACTAATGATCTTTATTTAAGAGTGGTAGTCCCGGGGCAGATTTGGGTTGTGGTGGGTTTAGGGATTAAGGGTAGGCTAAATTGTGGATGAAAGGGGTAGGTATAGACAGGTGGAAAAGAAAGAAAACTCCAAAACTCACACTTAGGTTTCTTTTAGGTAGCACATCTAAAGTAGGATTGAAAATCCTAGCATTATGAAACTCCCATCTGATTAACATTTTATTTCTAAGTAAGTAAGTGTTTGTTTTATTACAAATACAATCCAACTTCCAATCTGTTCACTGTCATGAAATTTAATGTTAAATTGTTAATACAAGAACTTCTTTTTCCTTTTTTATGGCCCTAGCATCCATCTTTGTCTTCCATGACTTGCTATACCATAAAAGCTTATGGTCTTTTTCCTTGGTGAAGAAGGTTAACCGTATGCAACATGAACTGGTTAATTCATGCATGCTAATACTTATCTAAGTTTGTTTTTGGACTTTCACATTCTATAGCATCTACAATTATATGGCATCTATTCTTCAGTTCTCTTTTGGGTCATGTTGCAATTTTCTTGTGGTGATAGCAGAATTTTCTTTTTAGCAAAACATGGAAGTTATTTTTCTGTGGTTGGTATTTCCTGGGTGACATTATTGTCTCAGCTCTTAATGAGAATTTGTTTCAGTTTTATGAATTCTACAATATCATAGCAAAAGGTGCCTCAATTGATTATTAGAGAATGCCGGATGATATGTCAAGCTTTTGGGGTCCAGTCACATCTGCTGACTGGTGTGAGAAAAACTATGTTTATTCATCTTATATCGCTGAGTTCTTCAACACGATATCAAACATCCCGGGCATTCTTTTGGCACTAATTGGTCTGATAAATGCCTTGAGGCAACGGTTTGAGAAGAGGTTTAGCATCCTTCACGTATCTAATATGACACTTGCCATTGGGAGCATGCTATACCATGCCACACTACAACGCATGTGAGTGTAGTTTGATATTCCTTCACTTGCTAAGCATTTTATTTCCTCCCATGTCCCAACTGCATGCCACATGGATGAATGGCTTATCATTTTACATGTATTATATTATTACTGGAATTTACTTTTGATATTTGATCCAAGCATGGTCTTTTCTTTATTTTAGTAGTTGTGAGACTTTTTTGAGTACATAGTTGAAGTTATTAAGTGATACAAATTTATTTGAATTCTATGAGTTCATTTTATTCATACTATTGGGTTTAACACCAACCATGGACAATTTTACTGTTTGAGTTCAACTTATAGAATGTACTATTGGGTTTAACAAGAATTGCTTGATGTTGTATTGTTTCTTTTTATTTGATGGATTCATAGTTCATTGTAATCTTAAAATTTTTATTCTGCAATTCATCAATATTTGAAGCTGAATTATGTGCTCTATATGTAATTGGAGACTTATGAAACCAAGACAGAATTTTCATGTTCTCTCTAGTAATGTTTTTTTCCTCCTAAGTGATATCTAAAATACATGTTCATGGCAGCATACCATATCTTATCTTCTTCTATCTGTGTCAGAAAGTAAATTTTGATTTAACAATGGATATTTAAATCCTTCTTCAAGTTCACAACCAAAATGCAGTTGATTTCTTTATCATATTGATACTGCATCAGCTGGTGTAATTAGGATGCAGAACATTTTCCTTTCCCGTAATTTAGAATCTAGATGCTTAGCTGTTAATATTGATTACGTTCTGGATAGCAGAAGTGAGACCTTAGTTTCACCTGTTAGAAAATGTTGCTAATTTGACAGATCAGTTTTTTTTATTGCTTATAGGAAGTGGAAGTGAGGACAGTTATGGGGGGATTAATTGGTTTATGCCTGAGGTGACTTAAATTGGATAACAGATATGCATGTCAGTGCAAGCTGTGGTACTAACTATGACAGTTTGGGTTGGGTTCATTATTGTGGCTAAGTTTTCTTTATTTGTCTGGTTGATTTGAAATTTGGAAATCTTTAACTAATTTTTCAGGCAACAGCAAGGGGATGAAACACCAATGGTATGGGAAATGCTCCTATACATCTACATCCTCTACTCACCTGATTGGCACTATCGCAGTACAATGCCCACCTTCCTGTTCTTTTACGGGGCTGGATTTGCAGTGGTACATGCAGTGGTTCGCTTTGGAATTGGCTTCAAAATACATTACATTGTTCTTTCTCTTCTATGCATCCCTAGGATGTACAAGTACTACATCCACACAACTGATGTCTCCGCAAAGCGGCTTGCAAAGCTATATCTGGTGACCATATCCCTGGGGAGTTTGTGTTGGCTTTTTGACCGCTTCCTTTGTGAGGATATATCTCGCTGGTACTTCAATCCTCAAGGTCATGCTTTGTGGCACGTTTTTATGGGTTTCAATTCATACTTTGCAAACACATTCCTGATGTTTTGTCGCGCTCAGCAGCGAGGATGGAATCCAAAAGTTGCACACTTCCTGGGCTTTTTCCCTTATGTCAAGATTCACAAACCAAAGAGCCAGTGAAAGAGCCTAAAGTAGTAAAGTGTACTCTCTCTCTCTCTCTCTATCTCTCTCATATTTTGGCAGGTCAGACGCCTGGCAATCACATTCTTTTTTGCCTTGATTTTTAAATGGATGTAAATGATAATTTGGTTATTATTATTATTTTTTACCATAACACTAGTAAGGTTTTTTTTTCTTTTTCTTTTTTTTTTTAAGAAAAAGAAAAAGAAAATTTGGTTAGTTACAACTTACAAATGCATTGCATTGGTATTTCTACAAGAGTGAGTGTTTTGTAGTTATGCATCAAAGTGCAAAACCTGCTATTGAATGAACGAGCCTCCTTAATCCAATAGTTGATGTTTTACAGATTAGTATAATTTAGATAAAACACATTTTTTTTTTTTTTTATAATTGGATTTCTTAATTTATTGTAGAAATGGAACTTATGGGCTGGCCTCAACTTTCCATATCCTCCTTGCTCTATTTTTGCCACCCCGTTCTCTCTCTTCTTCTTCTTCTTCTTCTTTTTCTATTTTTATTTTCTTTTTTCAGTAACAGTCTCTCATGATTGCGGCTAAATGGTTCATGTCCTAATTTTAAGAAATTGAGTTGGCTAGGAGTTTGAATCCGTACGTTATGATAACATGCTAGTCAATGTTTTACCGGCTAAAAAAGGAAATCTATAATTTTGCTTGGAAAGAGGGTTAATTTTACTTGAAAATGGCATTGTCTTCCGCGTTCTGTAAGTTGGAGGAAAAAAATGGTATCGTGTTTATGGTATGCCTATAAACACAGCATACATCAGTTTCCAGGAATGGCAATACCATTTTCAAAATTTTTTTAAAAGTATGTAAAGATTAAAAAGTAAACTCCAAACTTGTAATTAATAGCATCTACAAATAATTCTAATGCTGTAATACCGTCTTCATAATTAATTGGAAAAATAACACAACAAATAAATGAACACTAAATACGGTACATAAAATTAAGTATCAAACCATCATTAAAAATCCATTAAGTAATGCTGTCCTCTTGATCATGATTCCTAATAATTAAAGCATTAGTATTCATAGAAGGTAAAATAGCAAGCAGCCTAGCACATGAACCATCTTATTAGGCCAATTTGTATACCCAAAAGCAGAGCTTGAGATTTCCTGTTCATTTTATGCACAGTAGAACACGCTGCTGCTCGCAGCTCTTCTTTTCCTGTTCATCTCCTGTTCATTTTCTCATGTTCCAGAAGAAGAAGAAGAAGAAGAAGAAGAAGAAGAAGCTAGCACACATTTACATCATTTACATCATCTGCAGACGAAGTAGAAATTAAACTTCAAATATATACCTGGCCGTATTCTCATCAATTCTTGATTGAAACCAAAGTCTCAACATAAGTTGCCATCCAAAAGTAGGGACAATCAAGTGGCAAACATTTTGGAAACCGACGCTTGATAAACTTTTTATCCTTCGGATTATACACAATCAACCCTCTTTTCTTCTTATTCTGGAAAATGATTCTGTCATTCTTGGTGTGGCAAATTGGCACCCAGTGGTCTCTAACATTCCACCGAAGTTCAATTGACAGCTGCTTTGTCCAAGATTCAGGGACCCCATATTCCTCCATTATCCACACATCAGTCCTATCCTGTGTCTGCAAACATTGGCGGCTCATGCATAGCCGCCCTCGCAATGCACTTATGCAGCTGGGGACAACTAGGTTTTGATCACGATCACTTGGCGGCAGCATTATATCCCTAAGCTCCTCTTTAACAAAATCGAAAGAAGCAATGCTCTTAAAATTCGACTCTTGATTAGCATCCCAATGTATAACTCCGTGAAGAGAGACTACTGGTAAATTAACTACTGTTGTTTTCGGTAATGCAGAAGACTCTTGAACGCCCACCAATTTCCAGCAGTTGTTTTTCACAGAGAAAACCTGGGTTTCCCAGCCGCCGCTGCGAGAGAGCCAACCCCTTAAGATTTTGTAGTCCTTGGATGAATGATCGAATCCGAACCCCAAAACCATGGAAGGATTCTTTCCAAGTCCGAACCCATGAACCCATACTTGGCAGTACTCCCTGGTTAAAGGATTAGACACCAAGAATTTATCAGGGCACCTGTAATGACACAACAAGCCATTACATGAACCCAAAAACCGACAATCCCAGCAGGGCTTGAACGATTGAACCACTTCCTTGGCTAAAATGGATTTACGGGGGACAAGAGCGGCTGTTTCGAGGTTTATCAAGTAAAGATGAGGAAGAAAGGTCGGAACCAGACGATGATCTTCACCTTTGTCACTGGCCTGGAGTGTGTGTCTGTGAATGAATTGTGAATCTGTAAGGAAAGAGTAGAGGGATTTGGAGAGGCATCGGAACCGGCCGACAGCTTTGGCCGGCGATATTAGAAGTATCTCATAGATGATATCAAGTGGAAGGCATGCCGGCGGCTTGCTTGATTTGGTTTCTGGCCGTTTCCTCTTTCTCGCCATAATTCTTCAAACCCTAATTGGCTTGGCCGCCTGTGATAAGGGGGAAAAGCCTATTTTTTACTTTTAACCCTGATAAATTTACAAGTTTTAATTTTTTATTTATATAAATTAAAAAAGATAATTTTTATTTAATATTAAATTATAATATTACATTCGTTTTATTAATTAATTATTAATTTTATTAATTTATTATTAGTATTTTGTTAATATTTTAATATAAAAAATATAAAAT